TTGTGCTGCCTGTCACTACCAGAATCAATTAGTAGAGACAGGGATTGAATCTTTATGAGCACTTTATTCAGATGCCAGTGATCTGAGAAGATGGCAGGTTATGTACCCTCAAAAACCATCTTAACATCTCATCTCAAGCTGACATTTTTATAAGAAGGATAGATAAGGTGTTTGGGGAAAAGGTTAATCAGATAAGATCTGCAGTCTGGGGGAGATTTTTCTAGTACTCTGTCTGTTGTTCGAAAACTCAGATACCATTTCCATTGCTTGCAGACCTCTGGGGCCCAAAGTTTGAATTGCTGGTTGACCTCCTGGAGTCACATAGGTCATGTATTCCTGTTTCTGGAATAACAGCTTTCCACATGCTTTAATCACTTAAGCCTACCAACTAAAGCTAAAATATTTAACTCTTGAGTTCCCCTATCACTTTCTTTTTACAATCAACACAACAAGCCATCCCAGAACTGAACTGGAAGTGCGGGTTCCAGAACAGCCTGTGATGGTCATCAGGTTAGACACAGTGACCGAAGCACTAGTCCCTCACCCACTAAGTGGAACTCAAGCACCCATCAATTAAGATGTTGCATTGTCACTGCCCTCAGTGGGAGCGTGGGAGACTACCTATCAGACACCAGTTATACCTGATCGCACCTCACTTCAGGATAATCTGTAAATCAGTGAGAGTTATTTTGTTGATGAGAAAGAGGAACTGGGGTGAGAATTGATGACAACACCCATTTGATGTAACAGAACATGAACTAAAGCCCAAGCTGGCCAGCGATTGGCAGTTACATTCCAGAGACTAACTGCTACTTTATGAAACTAGTTAATTATCGAAGAAGCAGTTTGTTAAAGCTGACCAGGTGTCCTCAGTTGAGGTTAAGCCACTGTTTATAATGCCACCTCCTCCTCTCTCCACTGGCGAGAGAGAGATTCCCATCTACACTTGTGAAGATGGCTGAACATGGGACACTAGACAGATAGGATCAATGGGAGTTTATTAGTCACATATACACACAACTCAGGGGATGACACTACACACCAGGCAGGGCCATGTGGAGGTTGCATTCAGGAACAGAATGAACAAGCAGGTGCTGTAGGGGGCAAATTTGTAGTAAGAAGATGATGGGATGAGCCCTTTCTACCGGAGGGTGTGATGGGCTTGTTTGAATACTTCTGTGGGCTGTTATGGAACTGAAGCCTGGTACTCAGGAATCAACAGGCACTGTGTCTGGTCCCTGTGATAAAAACAGTTGTTTGGTGAAAAGAAGTTATCTCTGAAAGGAGAGGGAGTGGGAAACATGCTGTTACACCCTCCCTTGAAGGTGAAGCACCCTTGATTTTGCCAGATGTCATGATAGCTTTTAATAGTGAATCTTAATTTTGGGCTTTATACTACGGGAAGTTATTAAAAAGCAATTCTTCCTAGAACTAGTAATTGAATTTAACAATGTCACAGGATGTAAGTGAATGTATAAAAGTCAGTTATGTTTCTTTATACTAGCAATGAACATATGGACACCAAAAATATTTTTGATCACTAATAAAAATAAAATTTTATTATTAATCCAACAAAATATGGTCAGGACTTGTGTGCTGAAAACTACACTACACTGATAAAACTATCTAAATAAATGGAAAGGTATACTATGTTCATGGATTGGAAGACTCACCATAGTAAAGATGTCAATTCTTCCCAAATTGATATGGGGGTTTAATGTAATTGCTACCAAAATCTAGTAAGATATTGTTGTAGACATACACAAGATTATTTTAAAATCTATACCAAAAAAACAAATGAATTACAACAGCTAAAATTTTTTGAAAAAATAATGATACTTGGAGCAATCAGTGTACCCAATTTCAAAACTTACAGAGCAACAGAAACCAAGACTGTAATATCTGCAGAGGGATAGACACAGATCAATGAAACAGAACAAAGAATCCAGAAATACTCCTAACAATAATGCATATCTGATTTTTGACAAAAGTGCAAAACCAATTCAATGGAGGAAAGATAGCCTTTCCAACAGGCTATAGCTACTTAAAGCTTGTGAGGAAGTCACAGGCCAAAAACTTAGGAAATAGGGCCAGCAAAGAAGGAAGATCATGATTTGAATGAGGTACTACCAAGTGGTGATGGGAGGTTGGGTTAGTTTGAGCTCAGCTCAGGATGAAAGTTGCAAGCTCTATATGACACTTGCTGCCATCTTTCTGAGTTCAGCTGTTTCTAATTGTCCAGCTCCATAGGACCTGGTAATTCTCCCATCGGCTCCCACACGGCACCCTTAGGTCATGGCTAAGTGAGCATACAGTGCTCCAAAGTCCATTGGCCTTGCCATTAGCAACACTCTCAGACTGTATGAGGTAGCAAGATGGTTCTCAGTAGCTCCAAAGAGACCTCCTTCTAGGTTCAAATCTAGCAGAAAAGAAAGCTATTCCAGCCTTAGCAACTCCCATTCAACCCCTGGGATTCATGCCTATTGGAGCAACCTGGTCACCACTACCACCACCACCACTACCATCCCCACACACCCTGGAGTGTAGCTAAAGTGATTTTGCATGTGATTGGCCAGGTTTTTGTAAGGTTCCACTCACTGGGTGGGGAACATCACCTTATCCATGTGGGTTAAAAGGAGAGTGTAGTTCTCCATAATAAACTCCAGCTGTTGTTATAGAAAAAAGAAATACAAGAGAGCCAAAGCAACAAATGCCCACTCTAACCTCTCAGGGAGAAGTTTTATCATCAATGCCTAGCTTTTTGCTCACAATATTAATATGCACAATGGTTTTAAAGTCCAGTTTCTCTCTTCTTGACTTGTCAAAGGATGCAGACTAGTAGGTAGTGACTTCTCTGGCCGGAACATTGATAGCAACTACTCGGTAGTCTTGTTTTGAAGACATCTAACAACCTTAGTTGGCTAAGCTTGCCATTTCCAGACTCCACCCCTGGGTCATAAAATTCTAACCCTTTGACCAGGAGCTTCAATGGAATGAGCTGGCTCTGCCTGAGGGGAGCCTTTGGGAGTGGCCCTGAGTTAAACACTGACAAAAGTCCTCTTGCCCTGGTTGGTGTGGCTTCGTGGATTGAGCATGGGCTGTGAACCAAAGGGTCATGATTCGATTCCCAGTCAGGGCATATGCCTGGGTTGTGGGCCCAGTTCCCAGTGGGGGACATGTGAAAGGCAACCACACATTGATGTATCTCTCCCTCTCTCTTTCCTTCCCTTCCCCTCTCTCTAAAAATAAATAAAATAAAATAAGCCCTCTGAATCACCATCTTTTATTTCTGAGTTGAAGGCTCAGCAAGGAACAGAAGTGTTCTTTGCTTGCCAAACACCACAGGTGTGTCAGAGTTTCTGTCACCTTCTTCCAATCACCTTCATCCTCCCTATCCACACCTGTTGTATCCACAACTTATTCAACTTGCTGTTGACACTTATTACATCCATGGAATGTGTACACTGCCAAGCTAGGAAACTGTGTTTATTCAGAGGTCTGCATTACCCTCTTGGCAGAGGACCACTCAAAGAAAGTGGTGTGTGTCATTGTATCACCAGTCCCCTTGACAAAACTCTCTAACATCAGCCTTCCCCATTGTCATTTCTACTTTAGGTATTAATGAGCTCTTATTCCTCCATTGAATACAAAGCAAGCACTTGATATCTGATCTTGCCCCAGACATGTGTATTGGGTTTTTGTTGTTTATGTTGTTTGTGTGTGTATGTGATCCAAGGTTCTTAAAGTTTGAGTGTATCTGTTCCCTGTTCCTGACAGAGAATAAAATAGAACATGCAAACATACTTCATCTATAAAATGCTTTATAATAAATCCAGTACAAAGTATGTGTAATGAACACCTTGAAAATGTGTAATAATGAAACAAACACATGTGAACCCACCCCAACCTGGGCAATTATTGAGGTGTCTATGAACTCCTTTCCCATTCCCTTTCTTTGTCCTCCAGTGTCCTACTCTCCATTGGCTAATGGTAACAAATACCTGCCCTCCCCCCCATTTCTTTATTTTCCTCTGTAGTATTACCATATTTTGCCATGTATAATCCACTTTGGTGTATAATGCACACCCACATTTTTGGCCCAAACTTTCAGTAAAAAGTCTTTCATTTTAATTTTTAATTCAATTTTAATTTATTTATATTTAGAAACAAAACTGATTATCTTATTCCAGGGTATTTTTTATGTGGATATTGTTATTGCTTTCTAGAGTTACACTTTTAGTGCATAGCATAAATAAAGCAATTAAAATTATATAGATAAGAAATTAGTACTACCCATGTATAATGCCCATCTTTATTTTTCCCTAAAAAATTTGGGCAAAAAAGTATGCTTTATACATAGCAAAATATGGTATTTTATCATTTAGCCTTGCCTCTGTAAACAACATTAATTTTTCTTGTTTTGAATGTTACAAAAATGTATTTCCTACATTTGGTGAATGTTATGCTTCTGAAATTCAGCCATTGATGCTTGCAGCTAGTACTTGTAGTTAACTCATTTTCATTGCTGCATAGTTCTCCATTTGTATGACTTTTCCATACATTCCTTCTCTCATGAAATCTCAAAGGCCATTATGTGTGTAGAGCTCAGCTCATGGCTCAGAAGGAACTCAATAAATATTTGTTCAACTGTGGAATGAGAGTGAGCCCTGATTGACTGTCAAAATGACATTTGTTTTCTCCTCCTAGATTCTCTGCCCTTTGCCCCAGTGCTACTATCCTTCCGTGAGTCAACGACAGTCGTATCCCGGGATCAGAAATAAGAAACCCAGAAGCCTCCCATCGTACCTAAGACTACAATTCCCAGAAAGAATTGAGGTTCCATATCATGTTAATTACAGTTTTTCGCCCTCACCTCGTAACTTCCAGGTTGTGTGGGCGGTGCCAAAGGAGTTGTCCAATAGCACCTCCGCGGACTGAGGGGCGAGGAAGTTGGCCAATGAGCGTCTTGTTAGAGGCTCCAATAGGCGTTAAGGTTGCTGGGAGAGCGGTAGTGGGCGGCCTCCCAGAGCCGCGCCACCAGAGCCCAGAGGAGCGTAGCCACTCTCTCCTAACTTGCTGTAGGCTCCCTAGTTCTCCCTGTGGCTGTTGACCCCGCTTCCATGTACCGGGTGGGCACAGCACCCCGGAAACTCCACGCCCATGGCTACTAGCCTGAGGAAGCCAGCCTTCAACTCCTGCCCTTCTTCCTCGACCGAAACTGATGACGAGGGCGTGCGCGGCACCTGCGAAGATGCATCTATTTGTAAAAGGTGCTTGCGGGGCGCAGCGAGTTAGGGGCTGCATCTCCTCCGAAGTGCTGGGGCCCAGGTGGGAGGGGGGCCTGTGTTTCTGGAGCATGTTTGTATGCCAGCAGGCGCCCTCCAGCTCCTGCGACCCTCGCCTCGTACCTGTGAATTGCACAGAGCGGGGGCTCATTTATGTAACTCATAGTTATCGAACTTCTGATGTGTTCTCGGCATGGTGCAACCTCGGGATACGGTGCTTAGAGTATGATGCTGCTCGAGGCACAGGTGGTCTTGGGCCTTCGTGGAGCTAAAGTGTTGCCGGAAACACAACGTGAAGCACATACTAAGTACAGTCTTGCGTTAGTATAAGCGCAGGTTCTCTTTCTTTAATAGGTTAGTCTACTGGGGGTTGTCAGGATCCCCACTGTGCACCTGAAACTTAGGCCAGTCGGGGGAGATGGCGCGTCCACCACCACATCATATTGGTGTGCAGATCCAGTACTGTCCAGAGCTCTTGCCTGTATGCTTCCGGAGTGTACTCTGTTAGGGGTGTAGTGGGGGAGGGGGCGTTGTGACAGGTATGTCACACACCTGAAAAGATGAAAAAGATAGCATGAGACTTGAGTGTGCTCCATTCATTCATTCAAAAAAATTTTAAAGGATTTTATTTATTTATTTTTAGGCAGGGGAAAAGAGGGAGAAAGAGGGAGAGAAACATCAGTGTGAGGTTGCCTCTCGCGTGTCCCCCCATTGGGGACCTGGCCTACACCCCGGGCATGTGCCCTGACTGGGTATGGAACCAGTGACCCTTTGGTTTACAGGCTGGAGCTCAATCCACTGAGCCACTCCAGCCAGGACTCAGCAAAAATTATTGAGAGCTTATTTTGTGCTAGGCCCTTCAAATGCTTAGGGTGGTGGGGATTCAGTGATTGGGACCACATAATGAACAAGACTGACCTGTCTGACATACAGCCTGGTTGGAAAAGAGGAGACAAATAATTGCCCATGAAATGCATAATTACAATTCAAGCACTGAGAAATACAGCGTTCTGTTAGAGTTTGCAATTTAGGTAGTGATATTTAAACCAAGAACAAAAGGCTAAAAAAATAGTGTAGGAGAATGTTCAGGCATAGGGAGGAAAGAGTGTGTACTGTTAAAAGAACTGAACAAATGCACTGGCTGCTGGAGCCATGTAGGGATTGTAGGGTGGGAAGAACAAGAGTTTGAGAGTGAGGCTTGTACTTTTTGTAGGTTCTTGGAGACTAAGCATAGTGATGCCGAAACTGTTGTGTAAAAACTTGGGCAAGTTACTAAATCAGCCTGTGTTCTCAGTTTTCTGATCTGTAAAGAGATAATAATCATACCCACTTCATAGGTGATTGTGAAGATTAAGTGGTGCTTGGTATTATTAGTTAAGCACTTAGAGTAGTGTCTGTATGTGATATGTGTTAATGGTGGTAGATTAAATAAATAGATAAATACATATGTAAGAATTAAACGCTTGGAGGTGGTCCCTGGTGAAATTTGTGAATTAATTGAATTACACCCAGCTTTATTTCTACCCCAGATTTCATTGCTATTGACCACATCTATAGCACTGTTGAATGAGAAATAATTTTTCTCATGTTGACTGATATTTGCTAAGAGAATCTGCAGTGCCATCTAAATTACGAGAGGGAAATAAAGTAGTTTTCTGTAGCACATTAGGGTTAGGTTTGTTTAATATTTATTGATAATACTGGTTTGCTTAATATTTGTTGGATATGTTTTTTCATACTTGCTTACTTAAAAAATAAATTAGCTATGAAGTAGTTCAGACACAAAGTGCAGAGAAATAGTAGGACTAGAACATGGCTTTCCTTGACTCTTATTGCATAGTTTTTATGATTTCAGTTCTTTGTCTCAGTTTCTAGTGCCCTCTGTGTTTATAGACATCTAAATATTGTAGTGGAAGTTCAGCTTTGGAACTACAAAGAATTTAAGGCAGTATTTTTCAACCCAAACTGTACAGCAGCACGGCCTGTGGGACATTTTAAAAAACATGCTCAGGGCTTACTCCAGACCCACTGAACCATACAGAAACTTCTGGGCTAGATCTCAAGCTGTGGAGACCAGACATGTTGGCTCTGTGGATACATTTCAACAAACTTTTTTGCACTCTTCTTTTCAGCTTACTGGATCAGTTATTTCTGCTATGCTTTTGGCATATTTTTCCTCATGAACTACGTGGTTTTTTCTACCCTTGAGATACTTCCTCTAGCTTCTTACTTCTCAGTTGAGCGTAGAGTTCAGAGTCAGTCAGTCATTCAGTAGTTCTCTTGGCTGTGACTTTATCTACCTTGCCCTCCAGTCCTGATGAACCCCAAACCCTGGTTGAACTAAACCGTCCCTTTTTTTAAAAATTAAAATTAAAATTTTTTGTTCATTACCATTGCACTTTTCTTTTTCGCCTCAATTACAGTGGGTAGAAATCACACAGCAGGGAACTTGGGACTGTGAGTTCATGTCAACCAACCTTACCTGTGCCCTTAACAGAGACTGAGCATTGTAGTATGATTCTCTGGTCAACTCACTTTTCTACTTTCCAAGATACTTAATTCAGACATTTTTCACTTTCCTCAAACTTCTCCTTTACCCCACCCTCCCCTCATTCTCGAGATAATGTGAGTGAAGTTGCAGGTATCACTTAACAAAGAAAATGGAAGCCTTCAGGTTGGAATTCACTAACTTCCCACCAAGAATGTTAACCATCCTTTCCTGTTACAGTGGTCAGTGTCATCCAGCAGAGACCACTGGAAACACACTTGTAGTTAAACAAGTTGGGTTTAATTATTCATTGGAGTGAGGGGGTACTACATGGAGAACTTCTGGGCCCTGTCAGTGAGGGGGTGTTAGAATTTACAGGAGTTAGGCTTTGGTTGGAATATTCTAGGAAGAGCTCAAGGAAGCAGGGATTTGCTCTAGATTGGGTGCTGACAGGAGGTGGGACAGCCCATCATCGAGTACTTCAATCAGTCCTCTAGAAGGAAGTGTGACTGGAGTAAGCAAACACTAGTTCATAAAGGGGCCGTAGTCACTCATCAGGCAGGAGGGCGGGGTGTTTGGTAGTTTGTGGAAGGCATACTGGCCTTGTTTTTGTCTGTTGAGACTAAATTATGAAGTGGTCTTGTTTTGTCTCACTTTGTCACTGTTGCAGCTTGATCTTGTGTTGATATTCTGGAAGATTATGTCCAACAAAAGAACAACATGGCTCTGTGAGGACTAGGCCAGCACCTAAATGTCAGCACTGCTTTTCTGTTGTTCACAAGTGGGTCAGGTGAGTCTTAAGAAGACAGATAGGTGTTTGCTAGGCCACTGGTCCCCAACCTTTTTGGCACCAGGGGCTGGTTTTGTGGAAAACAATTTTTCATGGACCTGCAGTGGAGGGGGATGGTTTGGGTACATGACATTCAAACTCACCTCCTGCTGTGTGACCCAGTTCCTAAGAGGCCTGAACTGGTACCAATCAGCGGCCCAGAGGTTGGGGACCCATGTCTAGGCAGAAGGAAATAGCATGAGTTGAATAGTATAGCCATTGAAGTACAGCCTTCTGTTGGGGAACTTGACATTGGATGGGGATGTGGGTGGCAAGAGAGAATTGAGGAGAGGGTTATGAGAGAATGAAATTTGGAAGCTACTGAGGGTTTTTGTAATCATTTTTTAAAAAAAATATTTTATTTATTTATTTTCAGAGAGAGGGGAAGGGAAGGAGAAAGAGAGGGAGAGAAACATCAATGTGTGGTTGCCTCTCATGTGTCTCCCACCGGGAACTGGCCTGCAACCCAGGCATGTGCCCTGACTGGGAACCGAACCGCAATCATTTGGTTCACAGGCCCGTGCTCAGTCCACTGAACCACACCAGCCAGGGCTGTAATCATTTTTTTAAAGTAATGTTCAAATACAGTAGACTCCGTTTTTCCACCTCCACTTTCACCTGGTGCTACTGAGGGATTTGAAGTGGGGTGTTGACACAGTCTGGTTTTGTGTTTTAGAAAACTCCCCCATAGCAGTGCGAGATATGTTCCCATTTCCTTCCCCACTGCTGCAACCCTTGCTCGGGTATCCTGGCCCACCTAGTGTATTGCAGTGAGTCCTATTTTTCTCCTTGCTTCTAGATTAGCCCCCTCCCCCATCCAAATGTTTATGCTGCGGCCAGGGTGACTTTTAAGAATCACATATCCTGTTACTTGCCACTGAACAGCTTTTGATTACCCGTCAGACACCAGGTAAAAGTCTATACCACATTGCTTGGCACACCGTGCCTTTCATAATCTGATCTTGCCGCCCTGGATATTTCACTGCTCACTGCAAGTCTCCATTTGGTTGTCTCAGAATTATTTCAGATTCATTATTTCCAAAACTGTTCAAGATCACCCTCCTACCTTCTTCTTGCCACCCTCTCTCTGGACTCATTGAGTGGTGCCGTTGTTCATTTAGCTCATAGGGAAAAAAAGGCAGGGTGATCTTGAAGGTACCCTTTCACTTACTCCTGTGCAGCCAGTCACCCAGATCTTTGATTTTTAATATGCTAAATGTGCCTGGAATCTGCTTCCTTTTCTTTACCTCTGCTCCTGCCATCGCCATCCAAGTTAAGGTCATCTGTGGTCTGAGTTATGGCACTAGTCTGCCTGCATGGCCATGCCTGCTCTGACCTGCTTCTACGGCCTCACTTCACCCTACCCCTTCCAGCTCCCCCCCCCACCCTTTAGTTTGTCAGGTGTGTCCTGTTCCCACTCTCCTTGGGGCCTTCCAGCATGCTGCTCCCCTTCCTAGAGTGCTTTCTTCCATCCTTTGCCCGATTAGTTCCATGTCATCTCAGATTAATGCATTCATTCAACATTCTTTCTGAAGGCTTACTCAATTTATAGAGGAACTATTATCATGTGGAACAGAAGTGAATAAAACAGAGCGCTGTGGGGCATTCATTCCAGTATTCCAGTGGGGGAAAGCTGGAAAGCAACAAGCAAAATATCTGGCATATCAG